AAATAGGTAATCAGATTCTTTGTTTAAAATAATGCAGTGGGCTAAAGAAGAGAAACACTTCACTTTCCTGCAGAAATTGGGCATCTTTTTCTTTAGTGTCCATATGCACAAGGGATACAATTTTTAAAAGCACCCATGTGACTCAGGAGCCCAAGTCCCATTTTCAAAATTAACTTAGGCACTTAGGATCCTAAGGCACCATTGACCTTTCAATGAGACATGGGATCCTAAAAGCCTGTAGTCCCCAGAATGTCTCGGCAGAAAGCAAAAAATGTGACAATAACAAAAAAATGTATAATACAACTAGGGAAATAATTTCAAACCACCTAAGTGAGTTAGGTGGCTAAATCCCATTTTCCAAAATGACTTAAGCACTTAGGACCCGATTTTCAAAGACAGTGAGGCACAAAAGGATGCAGACAGGTAACTGGTGGGATTTATGTGCTTGTGAAAATCCCATTAGGTGCCTACCTTCAGCTTTAGGTACCTCAATATCTTTGAAAATATGGCCCTACATGCCCAAGTCATTTTGGAAAATGGGAGTCAGCCAACTAACTCACTTAGAGGGTTTGAAAAATGTTCCCTAGATGTATTATTTTTAGTTATTGTGACATTTTTGCCTTCCACTGAAGCATTCTGGGCATTACCAGGTGGATCTATGGTCTAACCAGTAAACTCAAAGTTATGGAATACGAAACTCTTCCGGAATATACATAGGAACTACTGGACTGAATCAGACCATGCTCCATGTAGTCCAGTATCCCACCTCTGTTAGTGCCCAGTACCAGAAGTTTTCAAGGAAGGTGGAAGAAATCCCTTTGCCAAACCTGAGGTCAAAGATCATTTCTTTTTTTCCATATGTACCCAAATTTATAGTCCAAAGTTTATAAGCTAAGATACTAAACAGCTGTTTAAAGTTAAAATTTCCCAGACCATAACAGAGCCTGTTAATATGTACAAGTGTATAAGATTTGAAAAAGAAATAGTGTCCAAACATTGCACAATAAGCAACAGATCTTTAATCACTAATCATGTCAGTGCAGTTCAGGAATATTCTTTAGGAGAAGCATCTATAAGACCTTTAGCCATCTTCATAAAGAAAATATATGAACTTTGGACTAGCCATCATGAGAAACAGGAGGTCTTAGCGTTCCAAGTAGTAATTTTAGAATAACTACAAAATAGTAGCAATATTAACTAACATTTACAGAGCACTTTTCATCCAGAATGATATGAACTGAAACATCCCAAACCATACACAAGAATAACTCCATCCTCTCCTGAAATACTGCCTCTAGTGGGCTGTTCAAAAACAGTTCAATCAGAAACAGAAAACAAAACAAGTTAGGAAACAAAGTCAAGTAGTTCAAAGTCAGATAAATCAGTGCTCTTAATATGTATCCTGGTTTATTTGTATCCACATTTTAAAGGTGTAACTGAAGATATCTGCAGCTACTATATATGTAGAAAATTACATATGAAAACTTTTAAACCACATAGATGAGATGAACGAGTATTAAAGTTAATTTTTAGAATAGTTTTGAAATAAAACAGACTGGAATTTACCCAAGGAAAAAAGACAAAACTGGATGAGTCTTCAGGAGAAACACATTGGGATGATGATCAGGAATTATCTAGCACACCATAATTATCCAGCACAATCTTCCCCACCCCCATTTTGCCTCACAATTTATTAGAGGACAATCATACTGTACCTTTAAACACACACACTGTCCCCTAATCTCCTTTGTGGTCTCAAACTTTATCAGCACAATGTTTTTACACAATAAATGATTTATGCATTAATCTTAACTGTATGCTGGTGGGATTCTGGTTTTAAAATCAAGGAGCTATTAACTTAAGAGGGATGGAATGGTCGGCTAGCTAATGGTGGAGCCAAGGAACAGGAGAGTATTTGTGAAAAAATCAATGCCTATATGGAATGCATTATGCTTAATGGATATTAATAGAGTTGTGTAAATAATTTACTCGGCAAATTTAGTCTCTTTATCTGCTTGCAGAATGGCTAAAAGCTGATCATCAGTTCCTTAAATGTATTTGGTATTCTAATTTACTTCATTAAAAAAAAAACTTTTATTTTTAAACCCCAAGATAGTTGATTAAATAGTTTGCTGTGAGTATTCAGAACTCACTATTTGGCCTTTGTTGTTGCAGTTGATCTCATAGGTCACACAGTAGGGCCAGAATAGATAACTCAAAATCAAGCACCCAATGGGGCTTTGATTCTTTCAGGCTCAGAGAGGCTAGCAATTTAGGCATCAGACAAATAGGATTAGAGAATGAGGAAAATTTTATATTTTTTCCTTTCTGAGTCATAGGCAACTTGCCCAAAGCATCTTTCCTGTAAAAGTTAGGCTACTATAAGATTTATTGGCTGCGTGCAAAAAATAAGTTTTTAATTTTTCTTATTGCAGCCAGAAAATCATGAGGGGTGTATTGGGTTTTTGTTGAGAAGACTTGTTTAGTGAGTTGAACTGCCTCTGTGCCAGGGATTTGGAAAGGGTTATTATATGTGTTGGCCCACGGCAATGTGAGGCAGCATCACATTCCTTACAAAATATAGCAATTCCAGTATAAAGTTTTTATGTGGATCCTGTGAAGGTTTTAAAGCATTTTTAAAAGGTCCTTTTACATCAGAAATACATGGGGTTTTTTTGTACAGTTTTAATTCTTTTTCCTGCTGAAGACAATTGGAGAACTAGTTATATGTCAGCAGAGATCCCATGCAAATGAAACCTGTATAACTGGAAGAGGCAGCAGGGCTGGATTAAGGCACAAACAATGCAGGCCTGGGCATAGGGCCTGAGCTCCTGGTGTCACAATATGAGGCTAGAGTCTAAGCTGCTTTAGAAAATAAGTTAACCTGAAACTGAAATCGTAACCCGAGCGTAACCAATGGAATGATATCTGCCTGCCTGAGTCTGCGGCTAGCATCCAGCAAGAGGACCTTACACTACCACCAGTGCAGACCAGTTGCTGTGGAGGGACCCATTGTGGTGCTGCTGGAGGGGCTTGCCACTGCTAGCCCAAGCAAAGGTGGGGCCAAGGTGGGGGATGGGGAAACAGAGCTCCCCCACCAACTGGGGTGTGCTAAGTTCCTCCAACTGTTGAAATCCAGCGCTGCAGAGTAGTGATTTTTTTCTTTAAAACTCCCCAGCTATTTAAATACTGAGAAACGATATCCCAACTCATATCCAAATCCCATTTGCCTTATTAGTTCATCTGCCTGTAGCTGTTGCGTGATATTTTACCCCCGTCTCCAGCTGATTTCATCCAGGAACTGTTAATTCTCTTGAATGTTCTATCCCAGAAGATGAGGACTCATGCTTTGAGAAGCTCAGTGAGACAATAAGCACACAGATAACCTGATTGTCATTGTTCACTCAAGCAGCTTTGCATTTCATCAGTCAGAAAACAAAAATTCTCTTCATATTAAATTGACTATTATTAAAAAAAAAAAGAGTCAGGCAGGCAGCAAATGGAACCGCATTTTGCTTGCATTCTGCAAAATGAATACACATGTGCCTTACTTCTGTGCAAAATCCTGCTGATAAAAAATTGACTAATACTTGGCACTTTTGATCAAACATTTTTACTCTAATTCTGTTTAAAAAAGGAAGCAATTCATCCAGAAAAATCAGTTTAAAATGTCATTGACGTTTATTTCCTTGTTATATAAAACTCATTTATTTTAATTAACTAGGTATGTCATCTCATTTCCAAAACTATGTTTTCCAAATTTCATGTGTGCTTTGAGATTTCAAATATTTGCCCTTTGGAAGCTAACAAAAAACTTATTTCATAATGTTCTAAGAATAGCCTTTCACATTAATATATGTGGTTGAGAAAAGAAATAGAGTAAAAATCTCACATTTCACTCTATTATTAATAATAAACATTTATATTGTAGTAGCACCTAAAGGGCACAACCAGGTTGGGCCGCATTGCAGTAGACACAATTAAAACATGTAGTGAATGACAGCCCCTGCCCCAAAGAGCTTACAGTCTAAAGCAAGGGTGGCCAAACTGCGGCCCGCGGGCTGGATCCGGCCCCTCAGGACTTTGGATCCGCCCCCCGGGATTGCCCCCCGTGGTGCCGCGGGCCCTGTGCCGCTCTCAGAAGTGGCCGGCACCACTTCCCTGTGGCCCTGGGGTGGGGGCAAAGGGCTCTGTGCGTTGCCCTTGCCTCCAGGCAGCGCCCCCCGCAGCTCCCATTGGCCGGGAACGGGGAACCGCAGCCAATGGGAGCTTCGGGGGAGGTACCTGGAGGCGCAGCAAGGGCAGAGCACGTGGAGCCCTCCATCCCCCCTCCCCCAGGGGCCGCAGCGCTTCCTGGAGCAGCGTGGTGTGGGGCCAGGGCAGGCATGCAGGGAGCCTGCCCTGGCCCTGGTGCGTGCTGCTGCCACCCCGGAGCCGCTTTAGGTAAGCGGCACCGGGCCGGAGCCCAAACCCCACCTGCACCCCAACTCCCTGCCCTAAGCCCCCTGCCTGCACCTCGCACCCCTCCTGCACCCCAACTCCCTGCCCTGAGCCCCCTGCCGCACCCTGAGCCCCCTCACACAGTCTGCACCCCTGCCCTGAGCCCCCTCCTGCACCCCAAACCCCTTCCCAGAGCCCCCTCATACACCCCGCACCC